TAATGCAAATGAAGGAAGTGCGCGAGACTGCCTCCGACCCTGCCCCCTCATCCCCCCCTTTTCACAACCCACCTCTGCCATTCTGTAGAATTCGAGGTGAGGCTGTGGAGCAGCAACAGCGCATCAGCAACAACAGCTACGGCAGCAACAGCAACAAACACAGCGGCAACATTTTGATGCCGTGGGAAATGCGAAAGCGGCACACGATTTGCTGGCTGTCACACTGAAAAAAAAATTGTAGGCACTTGGACGTTGAATTATAAAAAAATCGGATTATTGGGGATTGACAAACAATGCGTTATTCCAATTTGAATAGCATTCTTCATGGAATACCTACATTTTTGCCAATTTTCTAATTTAAAGAGATACAATCAAGTGATTTCGAAAATTCATTAGAAACGTAATAATGTCAAAATAGTGATTTGACAACATTTACCCTATACAAGTAGACAATTTTGGAGCTTCATAATGTTTTAAAGTTAGTTTTGTAGATTGACATTATCACAACATTAAATTTATGTCTGTGCTTTTTTGAAATTATTTATTCTGTGGTATATAAAAAAAAATTCAAGAAAATACGATAACATAATATGATAACAAAAGTTATCGTTTTATTTGAACATACATAGTTTTTGAAAGTTAAAGTTTAAGTTTTGAAATATTTAAATGATCTTCTCAGCTAAATCCCTTCTGTCTAAAAGTGGTCAGCTTCCGTTATTTTCTTAATCACAGAATAACAAAATTTTGTTTCCAGTGCACTTGCTTTTTCTTCGATGGCGGGGAAAAAGTGGTGCAAGGTGGGTCTGAATATCTGCCCTTTCTGTTGCTGCAGTCAGTTTGCCGGTGCGTCAGTCAGCCACTCTCTCAGTCAGTCAGCGAATGTGATTGCACAAGAATGGCAGCGAAAAAGTTATGAATATGAATAAATAATTTTACGCAGATTGCCACGGCTAAGATAAAATATGCTCGCTCGCAAATGCAGGAATATACAATATACAAGTGCGTTACCCCCACACCATCTGCACGGTACTTTCTTTGGCAATCAGTGTCAACGTAATACAAGTATTTTTCGGGGAGAAGCATTCTGCAGCGTGTAAAAGTTTCAAAGTGATTGAAAACAAAAGTTTGCTGATTTCGACAGGGGTTCGGATAACACAGTACAAGTAACTGGATCATATTAAAGAGAGTTATGACCTGATTTCATATGGGAGCATCTTAAAAGTTTATTCTTAAGAACAGAACAGATTAAATTTTTGCTTTAAATTCTAGAGGAAAACTACTTGTAACCCATGTGGCAATCATAAATAATTGTGTATTATTCAAATGAATTACTTTCAAGGCTGTTCAATTTAAAAAATAATTATACTGGTTGTACAATTGAACCTTACTTGCCAAAACAAACTATTTAAAATTATAGGGACTTTGAATTATGGAAATGAGAGTTCGACAGTATTAATTATTTTATTTTGCATATTTTACCAACATTATTTTGTTCAATATATACAAAGCAAATATTTATTCAAACGTAAATTTTTAGTTTTAGTTATTTTATTCACCACTTTGTTATACTTATAAAGAGAGCCCAGTTGAAATGGTTCTTGTCTGGTTTCTCAAGGACCTAAGTTAAATATTCTAGTTCTCGAAAAACCGCATGCATAAACACCGCCTGGCAGAAGACAATAGTTTGCAGCATTGCGGCCCAATTTGGCCTGGCCAGAACGGCAGAGCGACTGCAACTATGGCCAGATTGACCGAAGGCCCAGACCTACGTGGCCATATCCCACCTACCAAACGGCGGACGGCCATCTCGACCAAGCGACCGACTGTCGTGTCGGCCAACTTGTTTTGTAGTTGTCTATTTATGCGCTTAGTGTACGAGTACGAGTATAGTATGCAAATAGTTGGCGTACCTATCGCATTGCCCTCGCACTCCGCTGCCACACTGAACCAGTTTTTGTTTCGAGTCCTGCCACTCCCCCAGCAAATCCACCCTTGTTTGCATTTTTTATTAACAAACAACAAAAAACGAAGGAGGGGGGGCAGGAAGGGTATGCAAAATATTTGGTAGAAATGAAAACCCTTTTTTTTTTTTTTGGTATTTTGTTTTTGTGCCGTTGAAATGGGAGTGGGTTTTCGGGCGGACGCTTAGCAATCCGGCTAAAATGCCGATAAGCCGGTGGGGGTTGTACGGTGGTCACCCCCTAAAAGTGAACCCAACCCTCGAGCGGAAGAGGTGAGTGCCGTGTTTGCTGTGTTATTTTTGTAGTTACAGCGATATTTCATGTATGCCACGCATAATCGTTGTTGTTTTAGTGTATTAATTTTGGTTTTTAATAAAGCATAAATATTTGTGTTTACGCTTTAGACTCACTCGCCCCAAAGCCTGATTGTTTTTATTAAAGATTGGCAAATCAAAATTTAGTTTCATGCCCAGGGGAACACGAAATACCATTGACTTTGCATATAGGAATGGAGATTTGTTTGGTGTGAGAGTAAATAGATGTGCAGATGTGCCCGAGGGACTCATTACAAGCCCGTTATTCGTTATTCGTATTTCGGCATTATCCGTGGGTAAACCTACACTATATATGTCGGGTTTCGGTTTTCGACTATCTCAGTGCCTGTCAAGCAGCATTAATTGCAAATTCCTCTACGACAGCCGGCTGAACAACAAGTTAATGGTGCGCGGTTATGGCCATATCGCAACCTGGTACAATACCTTTTATGGCCTGCAAGTGATTTGCCTTACACATGCAGTTTGCATGTTTTAATTATTAAACAAATCAATTTTCTTGGTCTCCGACCCAACAACTTAATGGCATTTATCCATTTCTTTGGCTCTAGTCCGATGGTTATGCAAGTGCACACCCGTGCAATTAAATTTGCATAAATGCATTTTTAATATTGTTCAATTTTTGCAAACGCGTCAACCCACTTCACTTTACTGGGGCGGCTCGTTAGAGGATATCTGGTCAAGTCGGGAGTGCCAGCTAATGACATTGGGTGGGTGGCGTTGCGGAAAAACTTTAAATCGATTTCAGTAGTTGCCCGGGACCATAAGAAATTAATGTTGCAAATCAGAGGAGTTGATTAAGCAGTTTTCTTGGAAATCGAAGAAAGTTGAACTTTAAATTTCCACATTATATTTTACATTGACATTTCTTTAAGTGCTATGACAAGATTGGGTTTTTGAAAGCTCCAATATATCATTTTCACTACCTAAAATTTGTTTATTGTGTTTCAAGTAGATATTTATGAATTAAATATATATAAAGTATATATATATTAACAGCATTTAAAACAAAATTAATTTAAATATGTTCTGGTCTTAAGGGGCACACCAAAATCCCTGGGAAAAATACTTCTTTTATACCAGCAACTTATATATTTTTTTGGCCAATCCTACCAATTTAAGTTATTAATTAATGGCAGGGCTTACACATCCATTGGATATATTTTTCATGGCTCATTTCGATATGTCAATCTCTTAATGGTTTAAATGTATGGATTATTACAATCAATGTTTTATTCTTCAGAATGATGTTCCATTGGGCTTCTTTTTTTAATTCAACGACTTTAATTGACTTTTATTGGATGACAAATTTACTATTGACATATCTGGTAAAGCTCTATTTGTGCTATGCAGTCTGGTATTCCTTTTCCGTGAAAGGTCAAGGGTTTTTCCCGTGGCAGTTAAAGCCAACAACCTCTGATGGGCAGTTGGCCCCACCCATCAATTTATTTGTATCTGCGTGTGTGCGCTCTCCAATTCGCCATTAAATTTGCCACTAGCTGGGACTTTCCCTCATTTTTCTGCACTTATTTTGTTCTGCTTGGTTACTTATTGATTTTCAATTAGTTTGTTTTGCGCTTCGTTCTCGACGGATTTGGATATTGCAGCTGCGATTTTGGTGTTTCTTTTTTTTATTTTTCGCATTTTCCACCAGCAAATTGACATACTTAATTTTCCATCGATGGCGGTGAGTGTGTGGCAGTGCATTACATGACAAAAAGTTTTGCACTCATAAAGTATTCAATTGGGGTATTTGTTTTTCCCCAGCGCATCCATCGATTTTGGCCACGACTTTGGCAAGAGCTTGTGGCTCTTTGGCTTTGGCTTTGCAACTGACTCCGACTTTGCCAAAAAAAGTGTCAGGGTTAGACCAGAAATAGACACATGCCAATACGCTGGTCATAAATAAAGCAAAGGGTGATTTCTTTCTCAGCGTTTGAAAACATTTTTAAATAAGCTTTAAGTCCGGTTAAAGTTAAATGGCCGGGTTCTCAGTCGAAGCTAATTAGAAAAACTGAATCGCTTATAACATTAATCCATTTATGCAGTTGTTCGGCCATGCATCTAAATTAAATGTATTTTATGGGCTTTGTTTCCTTCCTTTTTGTTATATTTTATTTTATTATTTTATTTCGGGATATTAGCTGATGATAGAGTTGCGGTTTGCCGACGCATGAAAATAATGGCGTAAAAAAGGAAATTATGCAATTGCAGATGGCGAGTTAAGCAAATGTGCGAAATACAATTTTCGCAATGGACCGCATTTTAATTTTGTTTTATAATTTGGCAAATAATAATTTACATGAACAAATGTGAGCGTGTGAGTGATTGTGGCATATGCACAGTGTTTGTTTGAGTGCGTTTTGCATTAATTTATTTATATATAATTATTTACAAGCAATTAACTTTGCGCAAAGCTTTTGTTTAGTTCGTTTTCGCAATTCAGTTATGCATTTAGGTTTTAGTTAACGTTTTGCATTGTGACCTTTGAAATTCCCACAGAGCAAATGGCAAATGAAAATGAATAAATTTCCTTTTTCATTTGTGTCCCTGTGGGAATGGTGTCAGTTGCATGTGTCCCGCAACAGGGTTCCTTTGTGGCAAACGCACTTTAATTAATTCCATCTCCGTTTGCTATTCCACTATTTATCCAACCAATTGCCCAGTTGCCGTCCCCGTTCCCAATTTGAGTAAGAAAATGTTTTGATTTAATTTTTGTCAATATTTTTGTAATGTTTTTGCATTTTATTTTCTCAGATATATTCTTCTGGTTGGTTTTATGTAATTGTAATAATTAATTTAATAATACATTTCGTCATTAAGTAAATTTAATTCAATTAATTTAGCTCCATCATCTCTATACAGTACGATACATAAATACATTAAGTGCTCTAAATGTGGTTGCTCTTGCGATTTCTCTATATACATTTAAGTTTATCCAATATTCATTTAGTTATTGTTTCGTGTAGCTTAGGATGAATGAATCGACAAACACGATCAACTGGATGCGAACGAATGTGTGTATTTGTTTAGCATTACTTTAAGTTTGTAGTTAACAATAGTTTAGTTTAGTTTTAGGTTTACGTTCTTTACGCCTGGCTAGAACTACTATATATAATATATAGGCCTACGCATTACAGTTAGGGGCATCATCATCTCATGTGCCGATTTAATTATAGTTAATTAATATATCACATTGAATTTGAAAGTGTTTTAGCAACATTTCTAGTAATTGTTTGTTTACATTTTATGGTAATTATATTGTAATATTTTTTATATTCCTATATGCTCGTATATGAATGTGTGGGCGTGTCTTGTGCTTGTTTTGGCAGTGCTACACAACTACGAAACTTGAACAACAACCACAACATCCAAAGGCGTAATGCTTCGAAAAAAAATACGTATAAATATATTGTGGTTCAAGAAATGCCTACGAAAAAGTCTTTTTGTTTTGGATGTACGTGTGTGTTTGTGTGTGTTTGAGTGTGCGTCCTGTTTCTGCTTCCTCTTCCCGAGTCCTTTTGCGCCAGTGAGCGATCAGCTTCAAGATGGCCGCTCCTGCGCTGCGAGGCTGATAGAGATGGCCATTGGGAAGTTTACACCAGGAAGGCCTGGCCGTTCTTATTGGCCGCTTCACTGCCGCCAGATGCATGTTGCTGCTGCTGCTGCTGCTGTTGCTGTTGCTGCTGCTGTTGCTGTGCCGCTGCTGCGGAAGTGGAGGCCTGGGCCGTCGACTGCGTACTGGTGCTGGCCTGGCTCAAACCACTGCCACTGCGCAGGTGCACCGGCGCCGAGGCCACGGGCATCGCCTGCTGCGGCATGGCCCGGAACTGCGGCTGCAACAGTCGCTGCTGCTGCTGCTGCTGTTGCTGGTGCAGGCGCAACTGTTGCTGCTGTTGCTGCTGGTGCTGGTGCATCAGGCCCGTGGGAATCATGGAGAGCGCCTCGTGCTGATCGTACGCACTGTACTCCGACTCGATGCTGTGGTAGATGTGCTCCGAGGGCGGCCTCATGGGCATGGGCATAGAGTCCACGATGCGGGCGGCACCACCCGGACGAGTGGGCCTTGGCGAGGGCGTGGCCGTGGTGGCCGAGCTGTAGTTGGCCTCCATATCCTCGGTGCAGTAGTAGGCCGGCGGTGGTGGCGCCTGGCGGAAGATCATGCCCGGCGACACGGGCTGCTTGAAGCGCTCATGGTGATCCAGTGTGTAGTTGTTGCCTCGGGGAGACAGCTCAATGGGGATCGCATAGCGCAGCTTCTCCCAGAAGTAACGGTCGCAGGTGAGCAGGCGGTTCGAGGGCACCGACTTCAGGTAGGGCGACAGCTCGGCCACATCCTCTGCCTCGGCGGAAACGCTCGTCTCCTCGATGATGACCAGTTTCTGGGCCAGACCCCTCAGCGACTCGTGGAAGGCGTTCCTGAACTCGATGCGGTTCCATTCGGTGGCCAAAAGGTTGCGAGTCAGCACCAGGATGATCTTTCGCGAGGCACGTGCTCCCTCAACCAACTGGAGGTGCGAGGCCTGCGGGGGCAGATCCCTTTGCTGAATGCAGAGACGGAAGGGTGGACGACCGTGCTCCAACTCGGCGGCAATGTTGCGGCACACAAACTCGTAGTCCTTCTCCGAGTGCAGAATGATGGCGTCGTACAACTTGCCGGCATCCTCGAAGCGGGGTTCACACACCCGCACTCCATAATGGGCAAACAGCCACATGCGAACGCTTTCGCGGAAGACAAAGACGATGATGAGCACGACGACCAGGAAGATCAGCACCAGAACAGCGGCCAACAAGGGCAGCCTATATCCTCCGGCCAAATCCTGCGATGAGCTGATATTGCTGGCACTGGCATCGAGCAGTTCCGAGCAGTCGGGTCCATTGGCCAGGTTGCCAATCAGCTCCAGTTCCCTCTTGATTCCCGCATCCAAACAGTAGATATCGTGCGAATCCCGCACCACCATGGCATTGTCGGAGACGAACTGGGCCAGTTCCCGCAGCTGCTGGCAGCGACATGACCAGGCATTCCTGCCCAGCGTCAATCCCTGGAGACTGTGGCGATACTGCAGATGGGGCAGGGAGCTCAGACGGTTGTTGTCCAGTCGCAGGACCTCCAGGGAAACCAGTGGCTCGAAGGTGGCGTTGGAAATGTGGGTCAGCATGTTGTTGTGCAGGTACAACTCCCGCAGAAGTCCCAGCGAACGGAACTCGGTGCCCTCCAAAGCGGTCAGCTTGTTGTTCTCCAGATGGAGCACCCGGAGATTGACCAACTGGGCCAGACTGCCGTTCTGCAGGGTCATCAGATTGGAGGCGTTCAGGTAGAGGGCCCGCAGATTGCGACGACCCACCAGGTGGCCCACTTCCAGTTCGGGCATGTTGTTGCCATCCAAGTAAAGATCGCTGACGTCCAGGGGGATGCGGTTGGGCAGGGAGGCCAGATCCTGGCGGCCACAGTCCACGATGTTGGTGGCCCAGGTGGCATCATGGAAGCAGCTGCAGTTTCCGGGGCAGATCACCTCGCACTCGCACTGCTCGTACTCGCAGCAGTGGCATGTGGGCGGGCAGTGGCTCTCGTACTTGCAGACGAAATCGGAGGCGGACAGAGTGGCCAGCGGACGCAGTGGGGCACTGCGGCTGTGCGGCATGAGGCACTCAATGTTGCCCAGATCCACCACGTGCGGATGCTGGCGGGTGGTCAGGTTGTTGATCCGCTGCAGCCACTCCATGGAGCAGTCGCACTCGAAGGGGTTGCCGCCCAAGTAGAACTCGGGAACGGGTTTCTCCGCCGAAACGGGCGCCACCCGGAGGGCATTCAGCGAGATCTTAGACAGCACATTGGCGTAGAGATCCACTCGGGCCAGCCGCGTCTTGTCCACAAAGGTGTTGGCCTGGATCTGTCCAATGATGTTGTTGTTGATGAACAGCAGCTCAATGGAGTTCGGCACCGACATGGCTCCAATCTCCGTGATCCTGTTGTGCGAGGCATCCAACGTCGTCACTCGGATCTCCTCCTGCAGTTTGTAGTAGTTGCCCAAGGCCTCGATGTAGTTGCCATGGATGTCCAGCCACTTGAGGTTGGAGGGAATGAAGGCGTAGTCGAACCACACCAAGTGATTCTCGGAGAGATTCAGCCAGAGCAGAGAGGCCAGGGTCGCGAAAATCCCATTGATGTCGGTGAGGAAGTTCTTGTCCAAACGGATCGCCTCGATCTCGGTGTTCTTGTCGAAGGCTCCCCTCTCGATGCTCTGGATGCGGTTCTTGGCCAGATTGAGCACACTCAGGCGGGGCAGATCCTGGAACATGCCCACGGTGATGTTGCCGATGCGGTTGTCGATCAATCGCAGACCCGTCAGCTGATTCAGATTGCGGAACGTGTTGTTCTTGAAGTCCGAAATCTGGTTCTCGCCCAAATCCAGGGTCTTCAGCATGCTCAAATCCTGCACAGCTTCGGGCACTTCCGTCAGCTGATTGGAGCTGAGATCCAGCTCCTTGAGATCGGAGCAATTGCGGAAGGCCTGCGTCTCCACGATGCTCACGAGATTGTTGTTCAGCGTGAGTTTCGTCAGCACATACAGTCCGTTGAAGATACGGTTGTCCAGTGTGTGCAGACGGTTCTCGGCGAGATTGAGGGTGTGCAGGTTGTACAGTGGCAGGAAGGCGCCCTCCTCGATGTGGCCAATGGAGTTGTTGCGCATGTCGAGGATCTGCAGGAAGTACAGCTCCTTGAAGGTCTTGGCTCCGATGCGGGTGAGCGCATTGTTGGACAGATTTAGCACAATGAGTCGAATCAAACCGGCGAAGGTGCTGTTGTCCACGTGATGACTGGTCAGCTGATTGCCACTCAAATCCAGCACCAACAGCTGCTCCAAACGGTGCAGCAGACCCTTGGGCAGATCGAACAGATCATTTCCCTGCAGATGCAGTTCCCGCAGCTCCTTGTTGCCGGCAAAAGCCTCCGAGGGCAGGGATTCCAAGTGGTTGTAGGAGATGTTCAGCACTCGCAGGGAACTCAGACCGGCCAGCGCATTGGGCGCCAGGCTGCTGATGTTGTTGTGCTGCAGGCTCAGAGTCTGGAGACGCCTCAATCGGGATGCACCCCAGGCATCGGGCAGAGCTCGGAGCTCGTTGAAGGAGACATCCAGGGTCTGGAGCTCCGAACCCCCGCTCACGGCTCCATTGGCATTGCTCAGCGCCGAGCCGGCACAGAGTTTCTCGGAGAAACCGAGGAATTCGGCGGACCGAATCCGGTTCTGGGTGAGATTGAGCAGCTGCAGGCTGGGCATGGAGCACCAGATGCCCTCGGGCAGCTGGCGGATGTTGTTATCGCCCAAGTGCAGCTCGGACAGCTCCTTCAGTCCCTGGAAGGACTGGCCGTGCAGCTCCAGCGTTTTGCCCGGTCCCCAGACCGCGTTGTGCGACTCGACGGTGAGTCGCTTGAGCGACATGAGGCCATCGAAGGCGTTGGGTGGCACCCGCTGCAGCTTGCAGGAGTCGATCCGGAGTTCGGAGAGCTTCTGCAGCTGGCGGAAGAGGCCGGGGGCCAACTCACTGCCGTGGAGCAGCTCCTGGCTGCACTGCAGCTCCAAGCGGCCGGAGGCCTCCGCCACCTGGAGGTCGAGCGGGGATCCAGAGCCCGTGGACTCCAGCGCACGGACACTGCACCGGATGTCCATGGTGGACTGGCCGTACTGCCAATTGCACTGCTGCGCATGCGCACAAGTCAGCGCCACGAGAAGCAACAGGCAGGCGTTGGAAATTATGGCTGGCATTGCGGTGATTTGCTAGTTGGCTTAGTTAACTTTAGATGGTTTGCTTTTATTTTTTTTTTCGCAGCTTTTTAGCTGTGGGTTGTGGGTGTTGTTGCGGTCACTTTCTGGTTTTCATTTTTCGATCGCTTTTCACGCAGCCCGTTTGCCCGTAATCCTGGTGTGAGCTGGCGTTGCGAATAGACACTTAGCGATTTATACACTTATTTCTCGTTTTTATTTCTCTGTTGCAATTTTGCAATTTGTTGTGATTTTTCTTGATTTGGTAACGTAACTTTTGAAACTTGGCACTTGGCGCGACTCAGTGTTCGACTTCGTTTCGGTTCGGCGAGAGCTCGTTTTCTCAAAACATGTTTGCCGCCTCGCGTTTCGATTGAAACTGATTGCTGGAGTTGGCCATCTCGACTCCGTTGGCTCGTTGAAAATGTGAAACTGCGGAACGACGTCGTCGCTGCGTCGTGGCAGAGCAGAGCGCACACACACACACGCGCGTGGTTATAGTGCCGGCAGACAGACAACAACGTGTCCGTGCATGCATGTGCATGTGCATGAGCATGCACTCTCGCGCTCCCGCTCGCGCTCGCACACACATGCAGCATGCAGCTCTGCCGCTGCTCTGCCACGCTCTCTGCCGCTCCCACACACACACAGGCTAGCTGCATTTCCTGCCTGCATGTGTATCACACACACGGGAGAGAGACTCTCTCTCTTTCGACGAAAGTAGGGGAAATGTTGCACACACACATGACGGTCCAAACGTTAACCCTTCGCTGCTCTCTCTCCGATTTCTGTCCACACAATTAGCACTAGGAAATGGAATAATTCCGAGTTCAGATGGGTTATCAGCTATCAATGGAGTATTGGGTCTTATCTGCTTTGACCCCACGATTATTTGATTTGCTATAAGTGGGATTTATTTCAAAATTAGCTGAGCCCTTCAATACAGCGCCTATCTGATCAGCTTTAAATGCTCTGTTTTGTATTGGAGCTCTCGAGATTACGAGTCAAGTTTATAGGAAATAATTAAGGCACTCAAAAAAACTAAATGTGCCGCATTTGAGTATAAAAAGAACGGATGTATTGGCATTTAAATAAAATAAATCGGACTCATCGTTAAACATACATATATTACAAGAATATTTAAAACAAAATTATAACGATTATTCCTTAAAAATAACAGCATTTTCCTTTAATTACAAATGTTTATGCTATGATTAGTTTTATATTCTTAAATAATAGTCATCCTTAGGAGAGTTGAAGACCTAGTTCTGGTGTACTTAAAAATAGTTGATGGTATTTTAATGTTACTTCAGCATAATAAAACACAATTTTTGAGGTTCAATGAAGGTTTTTTTAGGAAACCAGCGTCATAAACTTTAATATTAGAAAACTAAATGACTATAGACTTCTCTATATTTAAACAAAAAGTACTTTTGAAAGTTCTTGGCTTTAGAAATAGTGCTTTCTGTAGCACCTAGATCCCACAGAGGGTTAACTAGAACCGGCAACAGGCTGCTGCTGGTTGGCAACATTTCGCCCCCTTTGGGATCGAAAGTTTGTGACTCAGTTCGTTTTTGTGCCTCGTGTTGCACTCGCGATGTGTGTTGCATGTACATACTAAGCTGTAAGTATGTTGCCTCAGTTTCAGCATGTTGCATGCTGCTTGGCTCTTAACAGCTGCCGATGTTGCTGCTGTTGTTGCAGTTGCAATAGCTGTTGCTGCGATTGCTGTTGCTGCGATTGCTGTTAGTGCTTTTGGCCACTTTTTCTATTTCTATTTTGCTGGGCACGTCAAAGCGACCGACTAAGTGCGGTTCTCCGGAGTGTTTTGTTGTCGTAAAATGGCTAATATATTGTCGTATGCTAAATATATTTTAGCAATATTTGTTGTGTGTGCTGCTGCCGTTTCAGTTGCTTCTTGGTGGGAGTTCGATTTTTACAGTTTTCGCATTTGGACACATAGTTTTTGTAGTTTTTAGGATGGTGGTCTAACGGAGTTAGCCTTATAGTATTGAAAACGCTGTTATGGTTTGTTAGGATTTTTACTGCGCCTCACTTTTGAGTGCTGAAATTGTTTCTTACACAAAAAACCACACATATTTGGCACTTTGAGTAGTTCAGGGAAACTTGTTGGTGCTCTTTATTGCCATTGCCGGCTTCATCATAATTTTCAGGTTTATTTACTCGCAGCTACTGCACCCCATTCGCGATGACTGTTGCTGCTGCTGTTGCTGCTGCCTCTTGCACCATAAATATCGCATATGAGTGTTGCATGCCGCGACAGCAACACCATCAGCAGTAGCAGTAGCAATATTACAGTTTGAATGCCACTATTATGCCAACTTACAACTGCAACTATGGCAAATAGGTTTTTTGCGGAACTCGGCCGTAAACCCGCGGAGGAAATGTCCAATGCGTGATTGTTTAGTGTCACTTGGGTTCGCCGTTCTAATTTCCCAGCTCTCTATCACCTGCTGGCTGGCTTTTTCGGCTGTCGACTTATGCCACTTAAAATTACATTAAAAAAGTTTCCGCCAAGAGCAACAACTTCGCCGCTGCCCCTCCCCAAAAAAAAACTCTAAAAGGGGGAGCTGAAAACTTTGCCCGGCTTTTGCACTACCGATGTTGCTGCCGTTCTAGTTGCTGTTGCTCCGGTTGCTCCTGTTGCTGCTGTTGCTGCTGCGTTTTTGTCCCGTTTTGTTTTTGCGGCACTGCAAATATGAAACTTTTGTTACTTAATTATTTTGTTTGTTGTTCTTGTTAATGTTGCTGTTCCTGCTGCTCCAGCTGCTGTTGGTATATTGTTATTAATTAATTGAGTTACACTTGCCCCTTTGCTGTTGCTGTTGCTGTTTCCACTGCTGTTGCTTTCGGGTTTGTAGATGTTGGCAACGAGGTTCTTACTGCTGTTTGCCTAGTGGTGCGAATATTTTATGAATTTTTAAATTTCATTAACTCGACGTGTGCCGGCAACTTTGTGGCAGACTGTGTCATATGTGTGTCGTCGACCCTTTTCGTGACTTCAGGCGTACTCTAGCCGTCATAACTGTATGACTGCCGGGGAAGTTCGTAGCCAAAGTTTTGGTGGAGTTTTAAAAACTGTTTAGAAATGGTTAGAATATAATTTAATTGCATTTATACCAATTAAATTATTTGGGGTTTTCAATTTAAATCCATAAAATGTAACCCGGACATTATGATCATTTCGTGTACCTGCCTGACCAAAAGTGTCTTGCAGGAGGCTTCCATAAAGTGCGCCTAATGTTTGTTTTTTGTTGCAGTGGCAAACAGCCACAGACCGCAAAGCGAACAACACAGCTTAAATATTATTCATACGGCGCGTTGGCCACGGCCAAAATCCTCATTGCAGCTTTCATTTCGACTCGCATAACTATGTCAAATTAGTGTCTGGCTGCCTGGATGCGCTGCTCCAACTTTCCCAGCGGCCTATTCAGAAACTTTCCCGCTCCGCTCCTTGGGAAATCGTATTCAAATGCCGGCCGAGCAACAACTGCAACAACAGCAACAACTGGAGAAACAAAAACCATTTTAATTGAATTAGAAAATGGCAATGGGTCAGAAGCACGTTTGTAATGCATAATTTATGTTTGCGCACTGAGTTTGTTTTGTGATTTCAGTTATTTTCCATTTTGCTGCGCTGCTGTTGCGAATCCCCGCCGAATCCAAAAACCGAATCCAAATCCGAATGCCGCAAACGTTTTGCCCGATTTTTTGAGGCCAAAATTTTCATAATCTTTTGGTGCAATAGAAAATTGCCATGGCAGTAGCAACTGAAGCTGCCACTGCCACTGCAGTTATGAATATCATTGCGGGGCGCTTTAATGAATGAACCCTGGCTAAGAAGGCCATCAATGGATGTGTATGTGTGGCAAACTATATGGCTGAGTGGAAAGTGCGTCCGACAGCCGAGGATGCAGCTCCTCCGCGGCGAGGAGTCATCCTTGTGGCAGCTGTCAGGCGCACTTGCATTACATTATTGCCGCCTCCACATCGGTTAAACTGAGCAACAAATTGCAGTATTTGCCATTCCTAAAATAACTATTTTTTTCTGTTTTTCCAAAAACTTATTTTTCTCTGCCCCTAAAGGTTATTTTACATTTATTTATTGGAATATTATAAATTCCAAGTTGCATTTTAATTTGTCTTTTATTTACTTTGAAAATTCCTAGAATGGGACTGGCTCTATTGACTAATTTATTTTGGGGAAAACATAGATTTTATCTCCCAGTCCCCAATCAGTTATTATCTTATACATTTGCCTGTCCGCTTGGCATTCCTGTATCTTGAAATTCTTGTTCGATAGTGTGATTTGCTATTGCTGCCGTTGTTTTTGTGTCTCGAACTCAGGACTCATTTGATATGCGGGCTCAGTAATGCGCCCACACGTCGATGCTGAAACAATGCCAGGCATTTTTATATGCCATGCGATATTTTATAAAATACGTACATATTTATATATGTATAACCGACGCGTCGGTGGAGGAATATGTTGTGAGTAACGACCGCTCAAGTGCATCTTAAAGATACTTTTGCCGCATTGTGCTGCTAGCTGGGGCTCGAGTGGATTGGATTCCCAGCATTTGAGGCTGTGCCAAAGGCTGCCTATTGTGGAACCAACCCAAGCAACCCCCCTCCCCCTCGATTTGTGTAGGGGTTGATATATGAGCTTTAATGTGCATTAACTCTTGTGCCATATTTATCCGCTCCCTCGCGGAGAATGGGGTTAATTACGCGTTTACGGCTCCGTGGCTATGGAGAATCTCGGCCGCAAGTATTTATTGGTCGGTTTGATTTATGCGCCCGGCCATGTGTCTCTCCCTCTTAGATGCTGGCCGAAAACTTATGGCCGTGTTTTTGGCTACCTGGTAGAAAGCAGCAGACTTCGTACAAATATAGCGATTTGCATGCCCAGCCATATTTATGTAATCGCCCACTTCCTAACTACTTATGAGTAATTTAAATATTTTTATAATTTTATAAACGAATGCCCACAAAAACCGCTGAGTTGGCGGAAAAAGCCTCGAAAAGTGAAAAATACCAATTCATGTTGCTCAGCCAAAATGCCACAGAGCACACACAACCCATAATCACGGCTAAACATAAAAAACCAGCCAGACAATTCTAATTGTCAGCCTCTTTCGGCGTTTTGTGCTAAAGATTTCATTTCATTCCGTTTCGTTTTCGGGGTCGCAATTTTTCAGCATTTTGCTAATACCCACTTTAGGAGGTCGACAACAAAAAATAAGAAGTAAAAAAAGAGGCGATCGATGGAGGGCTTATTCCAAAGGGGTTCAGCGATTTTCGAGCAGAACCTTTCATTAGGCACACGAAGGGGCCCAGCGACGATCTTCGACAACTCATGTTTATAAATTGGTCTATAATTT